TGTGGGTTGCATCGTACTATGTGGGTTGCAGTGCGGTACTGAGTCTACTGACAGAAAAACCGAAAAAAAAAGAAAAAAAAAGAAAAACCTGCATGGTACTGTATGGGCCACATTTCGGTAGTGACAAAAAACCAAGAAAAAGCAAACCTGTGTCCAAAAAACGAAGAGGAAAAAAATGAAAAAGGAAAAAATAAAGAAGCCTATGTACTTGCCTGTGTGCCCTGTGTACTTGTATTCAAATGATGGGCTGTGTGGGCTGGGTGGTGCTATGTGAGTTCAGTGGTACTATGTGTGGTGGGTGGTACTGTGTGAATTCCGTGGTACTATGTGGCTATGTGAGTTTGATGGTACTATGTGGGCTGGGTGGTACTATGTGAGTTCAGTGGTACTATGTGTGGCGGGTGGTACTGTGTGAATTCGGTGGTACTATGTGGCTATGTGAGTTCGATGGTACTATGTGGGCTGGGTGGTACTATGTGAGTTGGTTGTACTATGTGGGCTGGGTGGTACCATGTGGGGGTTAAGTGGGAGATCTGGGCAGGGTGGTGCTGCACAAGTTAAGTTAGGCGGTACCATCTGGGCCACATAGTACTATGTGGGCTGAGTGTGGGCTGGGGGCAGTGCTCTAAGTAATGTTGCGTCTCCTCCCCTCCGCCCCCAAAGAAGAAAAAAAGAAGAAAAAAAGTTAAAAAAACAGTATGCGGTGCTGGACGAGAAAAAACGCAAACCCACTCTGTTTCCCGCGCACCCCGCATACTTGTGTTGGGATGGATGGACATATGGATAAAAAACGCAAACCCACTCTGTTTCCTGAGTGTTTGGACAGATGGATGGATGGATGGATGTGCATTCGGGACCGTTTTGTAATCAACAACAACACCTCACAAATCATCATCTGCGGCGGCGTGTTCTTGCATGAAGCAAATCGAAATGAGCTGCATGCGCTCAGACAAAGACAGAAGGCCTCACAAAAACTGCGCTTCGTCTTTGCCAGAACGGCGCAGGCTCACAGGCTGGAGGGAAAACAAACACATTCCCCCGAACAGTTTTGGCCTCCCACAAATAACATCATTATGCGAGACTTGGGACTTGAGTTAAGTCCCGCTCGCGGGCGTTTCGGCTTTGTTTAGAGTACGCATCGGTTCCTGCCGTCCGATCTGAACATCGCACGGCTACGCCGTGGCCATGTTGGACAAAACTCGAAAAGGAAGACTAAATCCCCGCTTGTGGGGACTTGGCCCCTGCTTTTCACATTAATGTAGTATATGTGCATGAATCGGACCCGATACTGAGGTACTGCAGTCCATAGCATGCGGGAACCAAGCATGGAGGGTTTTTTTTTTTTTTTTTTTTTTTTTTTTTTTTTTTTTTTTTTTTTTCTTGGTTGAAATTCAGTATGGGGAGGGGGTATCATTTTCTGATGCATAGTTTTGATCTGTGGAATAGGTGATGGAGCCTTGCTGAGGCGAAAGTAATCTCTTCCGATCATTCCGTGGTGGGAGTTGGGCAAACAGATATAGTCAGACCATCATCATCTCCCCCTTCTCTGCCCTTCCTGGTGCCCACTCCTGGGAATGAATGATGATTCTTGTCTCGTTGGTTTTCAAAGCGATTATCGAATTTATTATTGATCGGCTTTAGGACAAAGCAGTTACTGGGGATCCCCAAACTGAATCAACGATGATTGTGCTGCACCTCTTTTTTTTTTTTTTTTTTTTTTTTCGTTTTCACTTTCGCTTTTCGGCGTTTTTGCAGAAATTAGGTGCCTTGCTGTTGCTGGAACATCTGACTGGCGTACTAGAAGATGATCTGACTTGCCGTATCGCAGTTTACAATGGTGAGGCCTCTCTCGCCCCCTTCCTCGTCTGCTCTTTCAACAGTCATCTTTTACGCATTTCTCAATTTATGCATGTCGTCCTTGCACAGGGGCCAGGCCAATCTTCTTTCTCTGTATCGTTCCAATTTTTACGGATGTCCCGGAGGACTCATCATCTCCTTTTTTCTCTTCTCCCACTTTTTTGTAAATTCCCTCTTGTGCTCTTTGCTGCTGTATTCTCCCTTCCCCCTCTTCTCCATCTTCTTATGTTTTTCCCAGTCTACCCCCCCCCCCCCCCCTTCTTCTCCCCCACCCACCCACCCACCTTACCCCGCCTTGTGGCTGAAGCGTACTAAGTCTACTGACATGATATTGTTGATGAACAGATCACGAGTTCGAATCCTGCAGGGTACAGGGTACAAAGTCACTGACAATGCCTGACATGGTATTGTTGATGGACGGATCACGAGTTCGAATCCTAAAGGATACAGGGTACTGAGTCTACTGACATGGTACTATTGATGATGAAAAAATCATGAGTTCGAATCGTGAAGGATACAGGGTACTGAGTCTACTGCGATGGTACTGTTGATGCACATCCATCATGAGTTCGAATCCTGCAGGATACAGATCATGGTCAACCTCCTCCTCCTCCTCCTGCTCCTGCTACTGCTCCCGCTACTG